TATGTAATATAAAAGCAATTGGACTTGCAGTTATTCAACAAGAAGTCGAAAATATCACTTTTTACCAAAAATTACAAAAATATTCACCAAAATTAGAGAATTAAAGATATCATTACAAAATATACAAATCTAAGAGAGATCCACATTGTAGTACCTATATATGTAATATCAAAGCAATTGGACTTGCGGTTTTTAACAAGAAGTTGAAAATATCACTTTTTACCAAAAATTACAAAAAAAATGTTCACCAAAATTAGAGAATTGAAGATATCATCATGAAATGGACAAATCTGAGAGAGGTCCACATGTAGTACCTATATATGTAATATCAAAGCAATTGGACTTGCAGTTTTCAACAAGAAGTCGAAAATATAACTTTTTACCAAAAATTACAAAAATATTCACCAAAATTAGAGAATTAAAGATATCATTACAAAATATACAAATCTGAGAGAGATCCACATGTAGTACCTATATATGTAATATCAAAGCAATTGGACTTGCGGTTTTCAAAAAGAAGTCGAAAATATCACTTTTTACCAAAAATGACAAAAATATTCACCAAAATTAGAGAATTGAAGATATCATCATGAAATGAACAAATCTGAGAGAGATCTACCCAAGGTACATATACACCAAGTATCAAAGCATTCAGGCTTGTAGTTTTCAAGAAGAAGTCGAAAAAGTAAAACATTGACACAGACAACGGACGACGACGACGGACAATCACTTATATGATAAGCTCCGCTCGACAAAGTCGACAGCGGAGCTAATAAAAACAATGAAGAAAAAAAAATACTGTGTATTAATTGATTTCCATAAATTCTGCAATGACTACACATGTCACTTAAACGTTGTTAAAAACAAATGAATGCACATCACTTTGAGATAACCTAGTTACACGTCATTGTGACGGATCATTGCCCACGTAGCCTAGTTCACCGTACTTTGTTAGTGTGGGAATTGAAGAACTTATAAATATTTATTTTGTGTTGAGACATCAAGCAATAGTACATGTTTTGCTCAATGTTTGAATTTACCATCACAAACAAATAAATGGACTGAACCGATGCAATACACAGTTGCTATAAATTGGCGTATCTAGTGACGAATAATATTTGTGACATAAATGGATGAATGTTGTTCAAAGTGACAAATGTTTTTGGTGTGTACAATCGATAATCATTATTCATTTACAATAAAGTAATTATCTCAAGAATAATATCTGTTAAAGCGACAATAGCTGTGACCATTTTTTGTTTAGATATAACCACATAAATATGACTAAATCTTACTGAAATAACATTTTAGACACAATAACATGGACAAAGTGACCCTACACAAGGCTAATATCACATAAAATACGAAATCGCTCACATGGTGAGGGCCATAGAAAATTATGACACCCCATACACAAATAATCACCAGCTCAGCCTCACAAGATGGCAACGTAATTGACATTTTGTCCAGCACTGGGGGCCCAGTAAGTTGTCATCTTGTATCGCAATCATTGAAGTTTGCGTGACAAAATTTGATTTCAATAGATGGCACCCTCTGGAGAACTAGTTGCAACCAAACGGCCATCTTTTTTCACTTGCAAGTGATTTAATGTACAACAATTGTATATACCATATATATGCTATGCTTTCAGTGTCAACATTTCGGCAAGGGCCATTACAAATTGACACTAACGACACAGGAAATGTTTTATAAATCAGAGAAAAAGGACAGCAATGAGTGATCCCAGGTAAAAAAAATGTGTTATGATAATATGAACATGCAGTCGTCCTTTCACCTATATTTTCATGAGAAAAGCATCATCGCTAGGGGAGATCCCAGGCCTGGTACTCATGCTGAAGTATAGCTTTTCAAAAAAGCCTTTAAACACATACTTATTTTGTGAAATTATACCCCTTTTCAAAATAGATACCCTATATACATACTAAAATCATACTGTTTCCAAGTTGAGGTAACATGAATTCATGAGATTTGTTTTTTCACACTTTATTACTATATTCTAAGGTACATTTGGCTTCAAGTTCCAATAGGACCCTAAACACAGTACATGCGTATAGGCGTCAAATAACTAAATAACATCCCTTTTACATGTTTTTTTCACTTCAGTTTGCGTACCATATTTTATTCAGAAAGACAAACCCCCCTCCCCCGGTGCTATCACTCACCTGTATTTAAATGAGTAAATGAGAAAAGCATTACATTGCTGGAGGAGCACAACATCTTAGTTCACATTTGCCAACCAATGCTTATGTTCATATGCAGCGATACCAGATATTGAATCAGTACTAATAAGTATATACACACCTTGCTCTTCGTTTGACTTCACTGTAAATTTTGCTGATTTTTCTGTCTCTTTCATCCAACTGCCGAGCTGTGAACTGAGCACCATAACTGAAGGGACAAGTGACATATATAGTTTTTGCAGTTCACATGAATTCATTGGATGGACAAAAATAAATGTGATGCTTTGCATTATTGCGCACGTCAGTTTGAAACTTGTGCCTCACACATTTTTGTTTTCAAATTTTCATACCGATGAAGTGTGCAAAACACAAGTATGAATAGAATAGGAAAAAGTATGTTTTCTATTTCAGAGGATCTTTTGTATCCAAATCAAATTTTAATACATGTATTCAAAAGTATTATTTAATATGTTTTTGCTGTGGTATAGACTAATTTTTATACAAAAGAAAAATATTTAATGCTCCCGTCTGAAGTGAATTCAATATTATTTAATGTGAATCAATCCATTTCAATCCAAACTGTTGTTAGGATATACAAATTAAAACAAGTTGAATGTGTCAGATATTCAACTGCGCAATAGAGTATGCATGTGTAAAGTTCAAAACCATTTGAGCAAAGTACTACTATAATGATATGCAATAAATAGACTGAAAAGTTAATTACTAATCGAATTAACTATTTAATATGCACAAATAGATATAAGATATTCATCTACACAAACATTTTGGGAATTTGATCTATTGAATTGGATTGCATAGAGGTCATGTCACCCAAACTCCCACACCTCCTGTATGGGTCTGGTAATTGGGGAAGCTAATGGCAGGAACAAAGATCAGATGCTGAATCATCAAAGGTCTGAGTAGAGATAAAGATACAAGGGAATGCAACGTACGCAATAAATAAGTGGGAGGAAGTCCCACTATCATGAGAAACGTCATGTTCTATAAATACAAACACAAGCACATGTTTGAAATCAATGATGTTGAATATACTCACTGGAGCAGTATGAAATGTCCCAAAGCGCTGACGACTAAGAGGATAACACAACCAATCATTATTGTCATATTTGACACTTTTCTAATTCCTTTAATCCCATAATAATGTACCCCCACATTGGGATCATTTGAGAAGCCATAGTAATCATGGCTGGCGTATTCGCCGGTGGAGCTGAAATGAGACAAACAAAAATTACAATTTACAATATACTGTATATTTTGCCCCATATTAAAATAAAATGCACAAGTAGTGTTTTTCTTGTTCTTCACGCAAGTTTATCATTGGGTCACTTGGATAACAAATGAGAATAGTAGATTACTAATAGAGACAAGAGGAATCAGGTAGAAATCTAAAGAATAGAACATACGGTACAAACACATATATAGTATAAAAACATGTGTAAGTCAACACTTCAACTAAGAAAACCATCAAACTCTTCATCTTAAAATATTCAGTATTTGTAAAACAAATTAATAAACAAATGAAAAGAAGATATATTTATTATAACTACATGTATATGTTCATTAGAAAAAGAAAAAAAAAAAGGTAAATGTCTTCCACATAAGGGGTCTGATATAGCTCAAAATCAATGTATACTTAGGGGGTACTAATTTGTTCACTAAAATCAATCCAGTGTGATACATGTATAACTCATGCAAAGTGCTATGCATATTATCTTATTTTTTTATTGCCTTTCTCAGACACCACTGATCGCTTTAAGATATGTTTCCTGGCATTTTATTTATTCACTATCGCCTACTTGTGCAATCTTTCTCTCATACTACTAAACATTTCAGACCATAGTCAATACACAGGTTATTATTTGTTGACTACTGTTCATTGTACATGTGTATTTGATTTTATACTTTCAATTTGAGTTACTATATTATATTGTTTTTGTTTTGTTTTAGCCCCAGACAAAGGTTGTCTACGAAGGTTATTAAACATTATTTATAAGAACCATGTGGTTCCCATGCTCTAATCACAATCACAATATTAGTTTTATGTATGCAGGCATAATGCTTCAAACAAAAAAAAACAAAAAACAGAATCCATTGTATGCTGTCTACTAAGCAGACTGGTTGTTCAGAGTTCAATATTGGCATTATATTAAAGAACTTGTCCCTAGATAGCCTCTTTTTGCATTTGTTCTTATGCAAGGAACAAACACTGTGCATAAGTCCACATTAACAACAAATTTTCATTTCAGTTTCTAACTTTGTCGATTGTCTTTTGTCAAGGATTACGTTGATTATAAAAGCTAGCTCGTCAAATTTCACGCAACTTTGGTGTTTTGTTTTTTCTTTGTATGTCCAGTATTTTTCACGTTCATTGTCGTTTTCTTAACTGAATCACTGGGTCATGTGACCATGTGGTTGCCTAACTGTATTTTTACTTATTTCATGCCAATTCTATTTAAAATTGCCTATTTTGGTTGTACAGGCTATACAAAAGATGGTGCACACACAAAGAAGACACCTAATATTGTTAAACAACACCATTTTTAGCATGTACTGTGGTGTGAAGGTGTGAATGAGTATCATTAGAAACAATGTTGCAATTTTACGTAATCAAATGTCCAGTTTTGTGTAGGGGCTCATTTTGGCATGTTGAGGACAATTTGTGAATACTGTGTTCCTGATAGCATAATGGAAATTATCCAACGTGTATATATTCTCATCAAACATTCTTATGGAATTTGCACATATGTACATGTAGAAGTGGTTGTGAATAGTATACGTATAAACATTGAATCTGAACATAAGAAATATTCACAGCAATGTCATGAATTTTACGCATTTGTTATCTATTTGTGTATACTTTGTTAAATTTGAACTAAATGAACATAAATTACTATTGGCTACAGATCTTGAACAACAATTTTGTGTAGGCTGATATACACAAATAACATTTTTTACCAAAAATATACTATACTAAAATATACTTATCGTCAGAAAATGAACAAAGCTGACTGAGGTGACTACATATAAAATATCGAAGCAATCAAGTTGCAAATAACATTTTTTACAAAAAATGACAAAAATATTCATTAAAATTAGAAAATTGAAGGTATCGTCACATAAAGAACAAATCTGACTAATGTCCACTTATAAAATATCAACGTAATTGGGCTAGCTGTTTTCAAAAAGAAGTCAAAAATAGCACTTTTTACCAAAAATGACAAAAAAATATTCATCAAAATTACTGATGCCTTAATTGATAGCAGAGCTAACAAATTATGGTTTATTTTGTGAAAGGAGACAAAAGACTTTAGCGTTGTAGTGATGTTATTCTGCGGTTGCCATCATCTGGTTGTTGCAAGCCAGCATCTACTTTTAAAGGTTAACTCATATAAACTGAAGAGTTTTTTCAAATTAATAGAGATGTCGATCAGGCTATTATAAAGGTAATGTATTTCACTTTACCCGAAAGGATGTGATGTAGAAGTCCTATGTACATGAACTCTGTAAGGTGACACCCTAACTCCCTGAAGTTCAAGATCGTAGTCTCGTCTACTCAACGGTTTACTGAGAACCGAATAGGCATTAGTGAGTTCAATAAATTTTTGATGTTGAGATGGATCGCTCGGTTTCGCATCTGGATGTAACTGAAAAAAAGTAGAGATAAAAAATATAATTTATTAAAAGCAGAATGCTACCAATGCATGTGTGCATATGTATTAGTGCGTATCGCAGTAAAAATATATATTAAATTTGTCTATAATTTATTACATCAGCAAAATCTGTCAGAAATATGTGAAAAATGTAATTTTAACAGCAGTGTCCATGGCCACAATGAGAAATAAAATTCTACTAAAATGTTGTCAGTTTGTTAATACATTTAGACATCAACATTAGTAAGACAACATATATCCCTTTCACCCTATGCCACTCAGCACAATATTTCTGTGCCATAGGGAACAATGGTAAAGACCAAATGACTGTTTTCACAGGGTAATCAATTTTCTTACAAATTTTGTACAGGGACTCGTGTATATTTATTTTATTCCTTTTTTTTTATCTTTGTAACATCAAATGTCACATGTAAAAAAAAAGGGAAAATAACAATAATTTTGTTACTATTGATTAGCTTTTTACTTTAATGTAAATTTATGCTTACGGTATCTACCAGATTTTCTTGACTCACAAAATTCACAAAAATTTGTCAAACACCAATAAAAATGATGATTTTTGGGCAGTTTACCATTTGTTCCTACGGTAAAAATATTTTTTCATAACTCAGAATTTTGCTTGGGTACATCGGGAGAAAAAAATCATATTTAACCAAGTGGACAATCTTAAGGATGGATGTTCACCTAAACTAATAATTATGTAAGGTGCTATTCAAATACATAACAAAAAACAACCCGAATTTGTTTCCACAGAAACAATGAATTTGTGATTTTCTTATAATAGTATAAGCACCATAAAATCCTACTCTAGTAGCCATTTTGAATTGACCATTGGTCGGGAGGGGTATAACTGTGGTTCATACATTGTAATGCAATCTAATAAAGCTTGAAAGAACTCCTCAGTGCTGAAACAATTGGAGGCACATGAAGTAAAAATATGAAATATTTAAAATTAATTCAAATTCAAGAAGTCAGCAGACTTTTGGGGATTTGAATGAAAGTGCCATTTTTAATTATGGGTTGGTGATTGGAAGCAAAATCCATATTTGATTGCTGTAAAGAAAATAAGACTTTACTTTTCTTTAACTTTATAGATTTCTTTAAAAGTATTTTTTCAATGAAGCAATTTATAGCTTATAGCAATTTATAGCTCAACCGTAATTAATCACCTTACCCCGAAGTATCTATGTAGCAAGTTTCATTGAAATCTTGACTTTAGTGGTAATTGAGATATGTGCAATTAAGATCTGTGCGGCTCATTTATTTAAATTAGGTAATTATTATGTAGTTTATGCAAATTAGACAATTTATATGCACAATTCAACCAAAAAATAAAACTCCTGTAGTTATCCAAGAGGTCACTTATATGCTTCAAGTTGCAATGCAATACAATGATTGGTTCTCAAGATATCTTGCAAAAAATTATACAGATTAGGTTTAATAATTAGTAGCCATTATTTAATACAAAACTAATCAGGTCTTTCCCAAATTTTACTGAATTGCAATAATTGGTTTTTAAAGATTGTCAGTGGAAAAGCTAAAAATTCGTTAATTATTATGTAAATAAAACTTATAAGGTCAGAGCACTGTTCCTGAAATGAAGTGCAACTGAA